CTGCGAACAACGAATCCATCCGGACTTACACACTTGTCCTTTTGTTTTCATTCACAATAATGCAGTTCGCAAGCCGTTGACACCCCCTTATGAAGGTCCTTTCAAAGTGTTGTCACGAAAGCCTAAATACTGCATCCTGGAAAGCAATGGATCGAAATAATCTGAGTATTGACCGTCTTAAACTCGCTTATGTTGAGCCTATGGTAACTTTGCTTGATCCCAAGTTGTTACCCCTCGTCGGTCAATCGACTGATTTCAATGCTCCAGTACCTCCATGTGCTCGCTCAGCGAATGATCCCAAACACAGGTTCAGGACGTGCTGTGTCTTTCCCCTCCAAACTAGCTGAGTTTGTTCCCTCAATAGTTGTATCGAGCGTTACCTTACCAGTTCACGCTCTACGGGGGGAGTTATGTAGTGGTTACTAATCTTTCACATTTTGTCTTTCCTATCATCAATTTTTTCATGACATATTTTTTACAGTTTGTTTGAATTAACAATTACAATTTACTTCTTCATGGCCCGCGCTCTGTCGTGCGGATTTTTGGCTGTGTTGCTTCTGCGTGTGTACGCTGCCGTTCAGTCTGCTTGCGAATCGGATATTGGACTCGGAATTACTGCCGAACGTCTATTTCCATCATGCTCGACTTGTGCCACAGGTTTATCGCAAGCTACGATTCAAACTCAACTGTGATTAGCCTGTGAGCTGACTCTTTCCGAGTTTTCGCGTTTACTAAGGGACTTAAACCTTCCTAGTACTCTTTCGATCACAACAGTCCGATCTTTTTGCACTTCAGCGTGAGGAACATTCGGTGCAGACTTTCTTGAGCTGACTCTCCAAGTGCCTTTACACCAGTTCGTGGACTTCCACAGTAGGTATATTGACAACCAGATACCATCTACCTTAGATCTGATTTTCGTTAAGTCCATCGACTTCGTGACTGACATTTCGTACGGTGCACCACTAGGGTCCAACTATCACGCATGCATATCCTTTCGGTGTGCTCTTTCAATTCACCAACAGACCGCCGTTGAATTCCTTCCGAATGTTTGGCGGGCTGACTTCAAGGCAATGTGAGCTAAGACTTCAGTTCTGAACTGTGAAATCTCGATGACAGACTCTGTCAAGTTAGGCTGGGATAAATTTAAGGCACCTTTCGGAGGTTTCCACTCGCTACATTCCACTCATGAGGAAAAGAGGGTTACGGGTACAACCTCCGTGGATAGATACCACAGGCAAGTACCTACTCAACAAACGGTCAAGATGCTGGCGAACCTACCAAGCAGCTTCATCAGCCAGTACCTACCACAGTTATCGAGAGATTAGAAATAAGTGTAAGCAACTTCTCAGGTCTGTTCGTGTGCAGTACGAGCAGGGTTTGGCGGACTCGGCCGCAGCTAATTGCAAAAAGTTTTTTGCTTACGTTAAAAGTCGCAGCGGGGCAAAGCTGTTTATACCGGCGTTATTGTGAGCAGACCGTTGCTGTGCGCAAACCGACTATGACAAGGCTTGTATACTTACTGATCAGTAGACTGGGGTCTTTGCTCGGGAGACCTCTTTACCACAGGTTGAATTGATTTCAAGAGTTCCAGTGCATTCGTGTTTAGCTGAGTTTAACATAACGGAGACTTAGCTCTTCGAGCTACTACAAGGCATTAATCCCTCTAAAGCTTCCGGTCCTGATTTAATTCATTTAATTAATATGAAGACACATGTAGGGCGTATGGGCTCTTCAGATGCTCAGCTGGATGGTAATTATGGGCTAAACTCCGAATGGATGGACAACGGCGAGCGCCTGCTGCAACTGTGTGCAGATCACCAGTTGTTTCTTAGTAGCACTGCTTTTAGACATAATGGGCGCCATAGTGCCACCTGGCCTGTACCTGACCAGCGATAGACGCAAATTAATCACATTGCCATAAGTTACAGGTGGCCTGGTTCCATCCTGGATTGCCGCTTGTACTGGAATACCTGCGTCCACTCTGATCATATCTTACTACACTGTCGTTTTTCCATGAACTTTACCGGGATGCGCACCAAGCATCCCCTCCGATTGGAAATTGAAAAATTGTCTCAGCCCTCGGTCAGTCAAGCCTATCAACGTGCACTGCGTACGGAACTTTTCCTGTCTTGTCTTAATAACACTGAGCTCCAGTGGAAGGGGATCTCGGCCGCCGTGCACGACGTAGGAGCATCAGCTTGTGGCACTATCAATCGTCACCGCACAAGTCACTGGATATCCGAGAGGTCGGTGAACCTGTTGGAATTCAGAAGGAAACTCCTGGCTGGCTCTGAGCACAATGTGACCAGACAAACTATTAGGCGCGAACTAAAGCGGAGCTTACGTGCTGACAAGGAAGCCTGACGGGCCAGTAGGACTCAAGAAATGGAGGAGGTAGGAGCAGTAGGCAATTACCGCAAGTTCTTCCAGCTGATCCGCACCACTGGTCCCAGGAAACAAGGCGTCAGTGAGACAATCAGAGACGGCGCGGGCACACTTATACACCATAAGGAGCGCCGTATGGCTCGTTGGGCAGAACGTCAGTTTCTATGCGCCCATCGTTGCTGTTGCAGCTGCCAAGATAAGTGCATTGATCAACCATCTCGAGTACCTCGTTAGTAAGGGTCAAGGGGTCATAAAGTGGCCGGTGGTCCTGCAGCAACACTGCACTTTGAAGGTGCGAAGTGCATACAAAATAATGAGCCCATTCTAGACAGGCTATCCAAGGTTGTTTGTGTCACCGCAACACCGTCGAAAAGCAAGACGATATCGTCCGCATAATCCAGGTCAACTGCTATTTCACCAGGCAGCGCTTTAACGCCTACATCTTGAGATTGGACAAGGGAACACTTCATGATAGAGTCCACGACGAAATTGAACAAAAACGGGGAAATCGGACAACCATGACGAACGCCATTTATGGTCGGAAAGCTATCCGATAAGGCACCGTAGACCCTGATACAGCCTGTATTATGCGAGTATAGAGCACGTAAAATGTTCACATATTTCGTGGGAACACTTTTCCGCGTAATTATGTCGAACAGAATGGATCGATGGACTGAATCGAACGCACTCTTGAAATCAAAGAATACAGCTATTGTCGACCTGCGATATGTGTGGCGCTGCTCTAGCACCTGCCGCAAAGTGAATACATGGTTTATACAACGACGTCCTAGGCGGAAACCTGTCTGCTCTTCCCTAATCCTAGTGGTCGGCCGGTGGCCTAGTGGTCTGCACGTTTGGTTTGCAACCATGAGGTCACCGGTTCAAATCCGCGTAGGAGTGGGCATCGTCGCGGTATGCGCAGCCCGCGCGCGACTGGTGGTGGTCGCGCGGCAGCGAAGTTCCGTTACGGCGTACAGCTGACACATTATTATTATTAATCCGAGATTCCCGTTCCACAATGAGTTGACGAACCAGAATCTGGGCCAGTAATTTTGTCACAACTGGCGTTGCCCTGTGCTTAGAACAGTCTGTGCGACTGCTCTTCTTGTATATTGCCACTATAATCGATTCGCACCAATTAGTCGAGACACTCTAGAGCAGCGCTACGCATACCGCAGGCCGACAATAGCTGTATTCTTTGATTTCAAGAGTGCGTTCGATTCAGTCCATCGATCCATTCTGTTCGACATACTTACGCGGAGAGGTGTTCCCACGAAATATGTGGACATTTTACATGCTCTATACTCGCACACTACAGGGCGTATCAAGGTCTACGGTGACCTGTCGGATGGCTATCCGACCACGAGTGACGTTCGTCATAGTTGTCCGATTTCCTCGTTTTTGTTCACTTTCGTCGTGGACTCCATCACGGAGTGTTCCCTTGTCCAATCTCACGATGTAGGCGTTAAAGTACTGCCTGGTGAAATATCAGTTGATCTTCATTATGCGGACGATATCGTCTTGCTTTTCGACGGTGTTGCGGTGGCACCATCAATCTTCACTAGTCTGTCTAGAATGGTTCTGTTATTTGGTATGCGCTTCTCACCTTCGAAGTGCAAGATGTCGTTGCAGTATTATCAACCACTTGATGACCGCTTGATACTTGCTACCGAGGTATTCGAAGTAGTTGATCGATTCACTTACCTTGTCAGTTGTATCAGCAACGATGGGCGCATAGAAACTGAAGTCATTTTAGGCATCGCAAAGTCCAGAACTACCTTCTTGCACCTGCGGCATCTTTGGCGACAGAAGGAAGTTTCTCTCCATCTGAAAGACCGTGTATTAAAGGCCACAGTGAGGGCCGTTCTGCTCTATGGGAGTGAAACTTTGCCCCTTCGGTCTGAAGATCTGAGGCGCCTTCAAAGCTTCGATCATTATTGTTTTTGAAGCATTACTAGTGTCTGATGGCACCAGCATGTCCACAACGATGATGTGCCTAGGCGAGTAGTAGGTAGTGATAATCATGCTAGCTCCCTAGAACAACAGATAGCACTGAATAAGTTGTGTTGGCTCGGGTCACCGCTTACCTAAGAGGGCCTTGTTTAGTCTGCGAGGTGTAGCGTGGCGCAAGGCTCAAGGCGGACAGAAGTTGACTTAGCTGCGGGAAACGAGACGACCAAACTGGGTGCCGTTTGTCCGTTTCGCCTTCCGGACTCGAGTCCACGTGACTCGCCTTGTGCTTGGCTCGAGACTTTACATAACATGACTGGCAACCGACACCAGTGACGCGACTGCTGCCGTCTCCTAGTCGGATGGCCTGTTCAAAGTGTGTTTGGTGCTGAGTTATCTGCGGAGTAATGGCTGATAATGACGCGTGGCAGTGAAAGCCGCACGGAAGCTGTCTCCCCGATGCCGCCTTATCTTTGCACGGTAGCCAGCGGCTTGTGACTGTATGTTGTCTACACAAGGTGTAGGCGCCTTGACCCTGAATGTTTGCTTAGGGCATTAAGGTTTACAAGTAAGTCCCCCTTCTCTCCCTTTTCTTTTTCTTTATTTCATAGGTTCTCATGGTTGTATGGCAGCGAAGCATCAGTTCAAATGGTTGATTTACTGCTGTTGACGATGATGGTATGTCTTGCGGTTAGCTACAACTGAGTGCGTATATCAGTGAAGACGGATGGCTCGTTTGGACCGAGGAATCTAATTATCTGTTTACATCAATCTTGCCTTGCTTAGTTTTTGCGGACCCCCCAAAACACATGCGGATTTTTGCGCAGACCAGTGCATAATCTGAGTCAATGTAAGTATACCAAAAGGATCTGCAGTCCCGTTCGCTGCCACATCATCTGTAGCTGGTTGCCATCTGATCTATTTGATACCACGTTTGTGTTGGCGAAATTTGCCTCCAGACTGTTAACGTTTCTTCGTATGCCTGAACTTGATGCTCGTGACAAACAAATAGTTGTCTTCGCACAATGTGAGAAGTCTCCGTCATCTGAGCGGTCCTCATAGGACGCGTGGTGATCACCAAGGTGGCATTCATTTGGTAACAGGCAGCCAACCCGTACATAGAAATCCCTAGCAAGAATAACGACAACCGATTTTTTAGCGTTAGTCAAAAGCTGCTGAAGCTCCAGATAGAAGTCCTTTTTGACCAAGCCACTCCTGCAGTCAGTTGGAGCGTACTTGGAGGTCACAAACAAGTTGCGTCTCCTCGCGACGCTTGTTAATTTTACATGAATCCCGAATCCGAGCTACACACGGCTGTTAATCGGGAGCCAGTCCTGTAGTGCCGCCTCGGCCTTGCCATTTGGTGCTATGCCTACAGCAGTCGAACCTGCTGCGACTGCTTCTCAATCTCCAGAAATATGCAAGTGATATCTGGTTTTCGCCATTAGTAGGGGGTGTCAGCGTTAGCACCGTGCTGGGCTCTTGCAATCGGGCTCCCAAAAGGCAGCAGACGTTACTATCGAGGGACCCCAGGGTGCGCGCTAGATTGGCTTGCTGTCCAATCTGCACGAATGTCCGAACTTTGAAGCATGCCAGACGGAACGATGATCGGGGTCGAAGGAGAGCCATAGGTTGAGCTCCATTATTTACGGCGCAACCCGAATCGCAGCCAGATTACTGCTCACAGGAATCGGGTAACGGATAGTAAGGGTTGTTAGCAAACAATCAATTGGCGTGTGATGAAGTCACTTAAATGTAAGAAGCAGAAACGGTAACCGGTGAGCACGTAGAACAGTCCAAGGTTTTGTGAGAGGGCGTGATACTATCCGGTTGCCCAAGCTGAGGTAAGGAGTTGATTTAAGGAATCCCACTCCAAGCCTTTGGCTAAATAGCCCATCCGGAAGGCAGCGAGACGAATTCAGCAACTCGCGCCTAGTTCATACACCTTTCGTTTGGTCGGTTGCCACACAATTGCCTAATCCCCACACTTTCAGCAATAGGATGCTTGAGTACTTTTGCACGGAACAGTGCAGCAAGCGTATTCATTCGTTATAAGCTATTGAAATGCGTTGTCGGCGATGGAAGTAATGCGGAAGCATTATTGCGCTAAGTACCCGGATTTCGTCCAAACTTGGACTAGTTTTGGGCACTCACGACCGCCCGAAATTTATGTCACCGGAAGGAATTTTGGGCGCCTATCAGGTGTGAATGCTGCAGAGTTAGGTTTGACCCGCATCATCCAGCCAGTGAACGGGAGGTGATGTAACACACACTGTTTTTTTCCCTTTCGCTCTCTACATCACTGAAACTGCAATTTTTACGCACCACTCAACCTCACTCGTATTCCTGGCTTTTTTCGCCCGCGGATCTGACGCTCCTTGCCATTTTAATTGAGTTTTTTAGGCCTGAAATGTGGTGAAAAACAACAGTTGAGTAAGCATGCAAAACCGAATTTGACTATTGTCAAATTTTCTGTGATTCAAGGCAACTTGGATCGACTAAAGTGATACTGAATCAAACGTTTCATAAACACTTGTTGATAATTTCCTCGGTTTCTCCGTGTACTAAACCCTTTTTTGCACCCGCTTCTGCATTTTTGCTGTTCGTCATTTTACTGCTTTATACGTCTTAAAGTTCCGCTGTTTTCCACTTTATCGTATCTGTTTCGCTATACACCGACGCTACTACACCCGAGGCTCCCTTGTCTGATGAGGCTAGTGCTGTTTGCGACAGCACTAACTGTGATATGACGGTGACAAACGTTTCTGGCGGCATGTATTGCGACGACTCCAAAAGCTGGTACCACCAGCAGTGTCTGCTGATTAGTCCGAAATGCTGTACACCAGCGACAGTTTGCATATTAACTGCATCAGTTGTTGTGGGCGCCAGCAGGTCCATCCCGTTTTTGTTAGTAGAGACGCCGAAGCCTCTTACACCAGACCGCAAAGGGTGGAGCAAGTAGTCACTTTAGTCGCCACTGGGGTCACCAACTTTGGTCACAAGATGGATTTGATTATGTGGGCGCTTGCGGTCTCTAGCAGTGGTACTCTGTAGGATTGCGATGCACCAAGAACTGGCAACCAGCTTGCGACATCAACCATCGTGCCACCCGTGCTGCTGGCTGCGCATCACAGATGACGCTTATCCGGACTCCTCACTGCGCTCTATCATGAACGACGCTGAATTCCGGTTTTGTGAGCCAGGAAGTCCCATAAGCCCTCCAATAAACCCGAAAACTTAGTTATCTCACACAAAAAGACATCTCTCGTCACTCGTAAGACCGTCTGACGGTTACATAAAGGAAACATTTGCATACGCATCATTTGTTATTTGAAGGTGCCGACCATCTCAGCTGTCACCAAAAGGCCTATTCTGACTACTTAGTTGACTCCGCTCAATGCGACAGACTCACGGGACCCTGCTCCAGTTGGCCAGAAGAAAAAGCAGACTAAAGCTGCTTATAAGCCTTCGGACGGACTCGGAGACCAAAAAAAGTAAGACGCCGACAGTAGAGTGGAAAACACACTGCTGTTACCGTTGGGTAGGAGGGGAAACTCTACCCAACTACACTTTAGTTGCTTCAACGTCGTTTGATGGGACAGCGACATTCCCATCACCAGCGGTGAAGACATCTGGCGCAATTGTCAAATTAGTTACACGTGGGGTAAACACACCTCGTCATGGTGATTCTTTCACGGATAGTAGCGTTATATTCCGTAACGTTACTGAATCTGCGGCTGTTCTCATAGGGAACATGTTGGATGACATCAAGTGGCTCATACTATGCCTCACCAAGCTACTTCCACTTGACCACCCTGGTGTCGCTGTCAGAAAGCTAACCAGACTAGGGAATCGTCCCTCTCTGTCAGCCAAATCCGCGACCCCGACTACTTCGGGGGATCCTTTCTACCCCGGAAAAAAGCGAAACATTACTGCCTTTTGCGTTCAAACTTAAAGGTATTATACCACATTATAATGTCAGTGTTCAATCTGATCTTCCACTGTCAGATAGGTTGAAGTTGAAGGCCATCAAAGACTTCAAGAATAGGTGCGCGGCTGTTGAGCTTGGCCTCCGTCTTGTGAGTTTTCAGGTGGTCAGCCGAAGCTCAATTTCCACCTTACAAGAACTGTGGCGCCCCAAGAGATAACTGTTATCTTCGATATATAATTTCATACCCGACCAATTGTACCTTAATCCTTTTTTGTTGTAATCACCCCTAAACAATGGCCATGTTTAGCCTACATCCGGTTTGTCACATGTACATTTGGTGACTCCTACACTGACGTTTGCTTCTGGTCGTTTCATCTGTCTTCATTTTGTTGTAGCGTCACAATACAGTCCGCTGTGTCCGACGTTTCTGCCTTCTGGTATCCGCGCTCGATCACGCGCATCGTACCTGACTAGTATCTACTAGTCCCCTAGAACCCATCCTGATGACGCACGACCCAGCGTTGGTCGTGACGAGTTCTTTCCGGCAGTACTTACCAGTGTGCCTAGCTTAAGGAACAAGTGTACGAATTGGGTCTATTTGTAGACAAATCTCCCGACATACTTGCTTTCACTGAAACTTGGTTGTCCCCGCATATCACGGACGGTGGGGTGTATTTACTTGACTACGCACTGCTTCGAAATGAGAGCTCCGTTGGTCATCAAGGCGGTGGCGGTGTTCTTCTTGTGGGCTGTTAACCAGATGTATAGAGGACTTGTACATTTCAGTCGTTGTATCAGACTTAATGCCTTATCGGCTGTTATGTGCACTTCCTCTGCCCAGTTTACAGTTATAGTGGTATTCGGGGATCCTGAAAGTATCAGCAGGGAGATTATTGACTTTATTTACACTCAGTCTGCGTATAGACGTCCAGTTCTGTTGGGCTGATCTTTCGTGCAGCATATGTCAGAAACGTTCCGTGTAGACTTCTTTGAGCTGACCCTTCGAGCGCCGCTGAACCAGTTCGCGGATTTCCTCATCCAAGTTCCATCTTCTTTGGATCTTGTTTTCGGTAACCGGCATGTATCCTTATGGATCGCTATCCTGCCCTGTGATCCGAGGGCGCGGGTTCGAGCCTGTGTAGGAACCGGTCGACCGTCGCAGTATCCTTAGGCTACGTACGGCTTGTGACGGTTGCAGGGCAGAGAAACGTTGGTACTGCGTTTTGCTAAGTCCGTCGATTTCGTAAATAACGTTTCGTACGGCACACCTAGAGTTTAGCGATCGCGTACGCGTATCCGTTCGGTGTGCTCTTTCAAGGCACCAACCGACTGATGTTACATTACTTCCGAATATTTGGCGGGTAGACCATGGTGTGATGCGAGCTAACGTTTCAATTCTGAACTGTGAGATCTCGATGGTCGACTCTGTCCAATTAGCCTGGGATAAATTCAAGGCATATCTTCTGGAGTCATCTACTCTCTGAATTCCCCACATTAGGAACAGGTGGCTACGGACACTGCCTCCATGGTCGATTCCACAAGCAAATACCTACTCAAGAAATGGTCTAGAGGCTGGCGAAACTACCACACAGGTCCATCAGCCAGTACCTACGACATTATCGAGAGGTTAGAAATAAATATAAGCGACATCTCCGAACTGCTTGTTTCCAATACGACAAGGTTTTAACTGACTCAGCCGCCGATAATCCCCAGTTCTTTGCTTACGTAAAGAGGCGCAGCGGGACAAATATGTATGTGCTAATGCTACTGCATGCAGATTGGACCATCGATTATGCTAAGGCTTGCATGCTTAGCGGACAGTGTACTAGGGTCTTCGTTCGTGAGATCTATTTACCACAGATTGAGTCCGTTCCAAGTCTCACAGGATTTTTGCTTAGCACGGATTATTGCGATGTATA